AACCGTCCGTGAATGCGCACACAGCTTCATCCACAATGCAAAAACCTAGAGCCCCAATGTCCTCTGTTTAATGGGGGTCGGAGGGCTCTTGAGGGGCCTGGGATTGTATCTTGATGGTTGTGGTGCAGAAACCGACAAGTGTGAGAGGGTGCCCGGAAAACACACACACTCAGATACATGGACACACACACACAGACAGACACACGGACACACATGGCACTTCATCACTGTAGGACACCAACAGGGCACGCAGGACCCCTCCATGATGTTTTGCTACTTCCTGTGAATCCACAGGTCTTTTAAAAAGATTTCTCTTTAAGGGGCAGCGGGGTGAGCACCCGATGCCCCGTCCCGCCCCAATGGAGGAAGCTACTCTCTGGTGTGGGTCCCCCTCTCTGCAGGTCAGCGCTCAGTGTCTAGGAGACCGGTGCCCACAAGCGGCTGTCACACTGCACACTCTCAGAGCAGCACACAGAGGGAATGGGTCTGGAGTGCTGGAGGGGCCCAAGGGCCCCTGCTTCACCCTCCGCCACAGGAGTCTCTCCAGCATCCCACACGTGTCCTCCACCAGGGTGTGAGGGTGCAGGAGGCAGCTACTCTTTGAGTGAGACAAAGTGCCACCTACCCCAAGCCCTGTCACCTCTGCTCATGGTCTCTGTCCCAAAGCATACCCAGGTCAGGCACTCCCTGAGGGTGTGGAGGTGGCTGCAGGATACATCACAGGCCCCTGCCACCCTCAGCTAGCTTTTCCCTTGTCAGGTCCTGGACACCAGGCCCCTGGGCAGTCATGCCCTGGCACCTGCACACAAGCTGTCCACCAGCCTCAGGCTCAGGACAAAGGCCCCTAGGGACTCCGGCTGGGCTCCTCTGTTCCAGTTAGCACTCACCAAGCTGCCACCAGGAAGTCCATCAACGGCCTCCCCAGAGACAGAAGGAGGAGCCAGTGGGCTGGGGACACTCAAGTCCTGGGGTTGGCCCATCTCCTGGGGGAGAAAGGCAGGTATCCAATGCGAGGAGTAGGTGGGAAACTTGACCCAAACCTCTCAGGGTTCCAGCTTCCCCCCTCAGTCAGCGCACACCAAGGTTTTAGTTCAGCATCTGTGGCTCGGACACTGGATCCCTCCCCACACAGGCGAGCCCCACCAACCTCCAACACAGCCGGGCTGTCACAGCCCCAGTCCAGGCACCTGACATCCTTTGCTCAAGTGGAGCTGCCGCCTGCGCCATCTGAACTCCAGGGATGGAATCAGTTCACTGGGCCCTACGGAGGTCAGTTGCCAACCAACTCCACTAGGATTTTTAGACTAGGAACGAGAACCTTAACAAACTGAGGGAAGGGAAGTCCAAGTGTGCATAGCCATCTTCTCAGAGAAGCCTTGCCATGCTAGCAGTGTAGGAAAATGAGGGTGGACATTCAACTCACTAACTTAGCAAGACTCACAGCAAAGAGAGGTCAAAAAGGACACTTCCACTGCTACAAACCACCAGAGAAGAGACAACACGCCCAGCTAAAACAAGACAAAGGCTTGGAGGTGCTGTGTCCCCACAGCAGACAGGCAAATGGTCAGAAGCTCACGGGAAGATGCCTAATACCACTTATCACTAAGGAAACGATGGCCTCAGAGAGCATCCTTCACGCAGCCCCTCACACAGACCTTCACCCCACATCTGCACACCACCCCCTCACATCCCAGAAAAGCCATCAACAAACAGAAGGTCAGAACCCAATCGTGTGTGAGCTGAGTGGACAGACAACTGAGGTCCATTCAGAGTGGACCACTGTCCGGCAATGAGAAGCCATGAAGTGCTGGCCTGGGCGACAGAACGGACCTTTGGGTGTAGCGAGAGAAAGAGGCCACACAGGACCATAGGGCTGACCGAGAGCTGCGGACTGTCCGGAACCAACGTCTACAGACACGCATGCAGGGTATCGATTGCCGAGGGCAGGGAATGGGTGCCCGCTAGTGGGAAGCAGGTTCCTTTCATGGTAATAAGTGTCCTAAAACCGACTATGGGAAGGAGGGCTATGAGGCTGTTTATACACTAAACCACACCAAAGCGGAGCCTTCAAATAGGTGAGTGCTGTGATCCACGAACCACGTGCTGACGGAGATGATGCTGGTGGTGGGCTCAAGGGTAGCACGCCTGCCTAGCAAGTGTGAGGCCCTGAGTTCAAACCAACCACAGTACCATGAAGAAAGAAAAAAAAAAGACACGTCCACACCCACAAAGCGTGGCCAACCTTGACCACACAGAGTACCGACAGACACACAGACACTGCACCTCCCGCACCGTTGCTGGGGTGTGTGACGGGTGGCAGAGCCAGCTCGGCAAGTTCTCAGACTCTGGTAATTCCCTGAAGTGGAGTAGTATTCAGCCCTAAACATGGAAGATGGGAAGCAGCACAGGACATGGAGCCAACAAGAGGAGACCTGCCCTCTGCCAGCCCTGGGCCTCGGAGAAACACTAACGCTCTCTGGGCCTCAGTTTCCCACACATAAAGTGACCAATCAGCAAACCTCTCCAGCCCCTCAGTCCACCCACAGCTTGGTGGCCGAGTGTCCAGCAGCACAAAGCAGCATTTCCCTAGAAGACCCGCCCGGCTCCAGGGCCGTTTGTGCAGACAGCCAGCGCTCAGCCCCAGTGTGTCACGGCAAACGCAGTAGAGCACCATGGTCCTCGGGCGAAGCACAGCCAGGTGCAGCATCCTGGCAAATGCGCTAGCCATAAAGATGGCTACCTGGTCTGGTGGCTTTATGGAAGCTGGAGGTCTAACGTCTGTTAATCCACACTTGATTTTCAAGCTTCCAGAAGAAGGAAATCAAGAGCCACTATGCGGCAGGGCTGCCTCCCACCTCAGCAAGGAGGCCCCCATGCAGGGGCTAGCATGAACAGGACACCGCACGGACAGAGGCTGGCTCCCTGGCTGGCCAGCAGCTCTCGGTCTCTGAGGGAGGAAGCAAATGCTCTCTGTCCTCTCGGCCAGCACTCCAGCCTGGCAGACCCTGGTCCGTCTGAGCTGTGCCCTGTCCACACGGCCAACAGTAACCATCACAGCGTGGTCCTCGAGTGGTGCTTCCCCACTCACCACCACCGGGGACAACCTCAGCACAGTGCACCAAGGGGAAGGAGGGCAACCAGGGGCGGGAAGCCCACAGTACCCTCTGCCGTCACCAGCCACCAGCTGGCTGCAGAGCTGCCCCTCACCGCCTCAGCCTTGGCAGCTCGGGGCTTGTAACTTGGAAAAGAGCCCAGCAGACATGGCCTGGGCAGACACAGACCCTCCAGCCATGGGCCCCACACTTGGAGCATGAACGTGTCTGGCTCTGGTGTCAGTTATGTCTGTGCTGTCTCCCTTCACATGGCTGTGTCCAAGACAGAAACAGGATGCAAGACACCTCCTCCACAGGGATCAGGCATGGGGACGACCTGCCAAGCCACTGCCTCCCCCTCCACCTCAGCAGTACCACAGTGGGTGAGCAGCCAGCCTGGTCCTTTGTGATGGACCCTGGTTCTGGAGGGGTTGGAGTAACTATAGCAGAGCTCCTGGGCCCTGGCCATGGGAAGGGTTTCCCAGAGCAGGGCACTGTCCCAGAGGAGGGACGAACCTGAAGCCTGGCACAGCTGAGGAAGAGGCAAGAGCGAGATGGGCAGCCAGAGGGAGTCAAGTCACCAGGAAATGGCAGGGCGTTTTTGGCCTCCCGGCCCTGCCAGGGACATCACAACCCACCCCTATCTGCAGTGCCCTGGGCCTGTCAAGCGGTGTGGGACATGAGGGAGCCACCAGGCCTGGGACGAGGAGACCACGAGCTCCAGGCCAGGCTCCAGGACAAGGAAGGCCGTGGCCCCAGGCAGGCCAAGCCTGAGTGGAGCCGGCTCCATGGAAACCACTCCCCAAGGGGCAATGAAGTCCCAGCAGCCGGGACACAGCCACCGTCCTGGCAGGCACAGCACACTGTACTGTGGGAAGTGACCGCCAGGGCCCCGGAGCTCCCCAGATGGACGTTTCTGGTAGGACAACACTGGTCCAAGTGGGGACAAAGGCTGTTCCAGTTCCCCCACAGATCCCAAAGGTCCACCTCGAGCTGCGGGGAACATGGGAAGGGCCAGCACTCTACTTTTCCATGAGACACTTCCAAGCTCGGGGACCCACCCTGGAGAATGGTTAAGTTCGCCACGTTTTTCCTCTAAAAAATCTGCCTGACACCTCCTTTTAATAACTACCCATGAGATGTAGAAGAGTGGGTGAGGTAATTTTCAGCAGCAGAGACCACAATGCATTCTTCAGGGACAGTCCCCACGTTCCCCTCCCCACCACAGTACCAAGACACAGAGATCACACTCCCTCCACAAGGACAGAGGCTGCTGACCCCTCCTGGCCAGTAGGCCACGACACACCATGCCACGGCTGCCTCCCGCAGGTCAGGCTCCCTGGCCTCCTCCCAGCAGCCTCCTCGGAAGCAGAGGGAACATTCTGCTGCTGCTGGGAGCTAAGGCCATCTCTACACCTTGGCCTGAGACCCAGACAGAGCCAGTGAGTCCACCAGGAGCTCACGTTACAAACCAAGCAACACCCAGAATCGAGAGACCAGAAGAGACACACAAAACTCTCCTCGTTTTCCTAAGGCCTCGAAACACGAGTTTTTAAAAAAACTTTTCTTGGTAGTACTAGAATTTGAACTCGGAGCCTCACACTTGCCAGGCACGCGTCAGGCGAGGAGCAGTGTCCCCTTCTGCCCCATAGCCCCTGTCCTGAGAACACAGTCCAGGCCCCACTCCAGGCTTGGCCCTCCTGGACCCTCAGCAGGGCCACTGGAGGCCACCACAGCCCAAAGACAGGCGCCACGCAGCAGCCAGCAGACATGGTGGCTGCAACCATGCTCTGACCTATGCTGTGCCCAAAGCAATTGGAGATGCACTGAAGGCCCACGGTGGCCTGGCTGGGCCCCACTCCACGCTCCATGGTGGCCCGGCCCCGACACTCCACAGACGAATCTTACCTCTGGGCCGCCTTCCTCCCCATCCTGCATGGCCTCAGGTGCCCGAGACCTCTCTTCTGCCTTCTTCTGTTTTTTGCTCTTTTTCTCCGCCAATTCATTTTCTCTGTCACCTTTTCTCTTCTGCTTTGCCATCCTGCCACAGACAGGGCACATTGGTAAGTCATGGGAAGTGAGGGCTTGGTCAGTGTCGTTGACAGGAGGGCACGCTCTGGCTACAGCAGAGACACAGCAACAGTCCAAAGAGTGCTAGGTGTGGAGAAGGACAAGAGCCACGCCACCTGGGTGCCACACAGAGTCCCACAGCGTGCACAGGTCCTTACTCAACATGGCTGCCATCATCTGTGGGTTACAGGGTCTGCAAGATCAAGAGAAATACAATGGAAATGACACCATCACAGTTCCCCAGAGGGGAGAACCTGCCCCTTCCTTAGTCATCAGGTATCTGGGGCCAGCTTTGTCTTCCATCTTTCTCTAGTTCCACATCTACTCACGCCCCGTCACAGGCATCTGGCCACCCACAGCTGTGGGGGTTGGGAACCCCAGGAGGCAGGGTGTCTCTGACTTCCAGGCCTGGACCAGTCCCCCTAACGGGGTCTGTTTCCTTGCACACTGCTGTGTCTAGGGCGCCAGGTTCAAGAACAGACGTCCCTGAGTACAAAACTCATTTCCTCCATTGGCTGGTGTATAAATGGCTAAAGCCACCAGAGCTCAGAAGCAGAGACACAGGACGGATGGAGAGCCCCTGGACCTTGACGGACAGACACAGGCCGCTGCTGGGACCTCTGAGGGGTGCCAGGCTCCTTCCTGGAGGGAGATGAGGCAACTGGCAGCCCGAGACACCCGTGCACACGGAGCTCACGTTCTTACAGGGGACAGGACTATTGGGAGATGAGAATAGCTATAAAAACTTTAAAGGGCAAAGTAGGACAAGGTGACAAGGTGACCACTTTAGAAGGATGATGAGGCTGGGCTCAGTGTGGAGGATGGCACATGCAAATGTGCCAGGCTGCAGGATAAAAAGGTCCTGAGAGCCCATTTATATCAACAAGCCAGGCACAGTTGTGTGTGCCTGTAATCACAGCTATGTGGGAGGCCATAAGTAGAAGGATCATAGTCTAAGGTCAGCCCAGGACAAAAATGAGAGACCTACCTAAAAAATAATTAAACCGAAAAGGGGCCAGGAACACGGCTCAAGTGGTGAGCAATGCACTAGGCCTGCAGTTGAAACTCCAGTACTGCCAGAAAAAGAAAGAAAGAAAGAAAGACAGTGGGAACAGGAAGGGCCAAGATCAATGAGGCTCCTAGAGACGCAGAGGGTGGGCTGGGCTCCAAGCCCTGTCACTCTGTCACCAGGGCTGTCACTGCTTACGGCACATCCGGGATCAGAAAGTCCAAGCTCTGCCCTCTTTAATTAAGTCTAATCTTTAAAAATATCTGAAGCCAAAGGCTACCCACTTAGTTAGCACAATAATAAGAGCCCTTGAAGGGCAGGAGGCAGGGAACATGGGGCATTGAAACCACGAACGATGGCACCAGCCGATTACCTTGTCAGAGAAGGGAGAGAGACTCAGCAGCCAACGTCTACACAGCAGTTACTGAAAGTTAAACTGAGACTCGCTCTGTGAGTGGTCATGGAGAAACCTAACCCGAGACTATTACTGAGCAGAGTGGCTTCTCTTGACAGTTCTAGGAGGCAGTGACTGGCACCTCCCAGACCCTGGACATTTGTTCCAGAAAGCAGCACTTACTTTTGACTTGCTCAGCTGACTTTCCACAAGAGGACAGACTATTCAACAAACGGTGCCAGACAACCAGACAGCCCTGAGAGAAAATGAACGAGGCCCGCGTCACACCACACATGAAAATGAACTCAAGATTTATCAGGACCTACAGGACGAGTGAAAGCCTGAGAGTCTTGGAAGAAGACACAGAACTGAATCATTGGATTAGCACAACGCCAAAAATATAACTGTCGAGAGAGAAAGTAAACTGCACATCAGAATGTATAATCTTCATCCTATAAACAGTGGCAACAAGAAAATACAGCGATACAGAGACAATGATGGAACCCGAGAAAGCCCTGGCAGGTCACCTCATGAGACACCTGTAACTTGGCACACAGCACACAGGAGGCCCTCTCCACTTTAGGATGGACACTGAAGCTGGGGCAAGGATGCTCAGCCACATGGTCACTTAGGAAAAGCAAACCAAACAGGACACTGACACTTGCTGATGGCTAGAATCAAAAGAGAGGAGGGGGGTGTGGTTCAGGGCAAGGTCCTGGGTTTGCTCCCCAGTGGGAGGGAGGGAGGGAAGGAGGGAAAAGGGAGGGAGGAAGGAAGCAAAAGAGAGGAAAGCAGGGAAGGGAGGAAGGAGGGAAGGAAAGGAGGGAGGGAAGGAAGGGAGGAAAGGAGGGAAAGGAGGAAAGGAGGGAGGGAAGAAGAAGGGAGGGAGGGAGGAAGCCATTGAAGGAGATAGGGAAGAAGGGAAGGGGGGAAGGAGATAACATCACCTATCAGGGAGGCTGAGAAAATGGAGCTCTCACCTATTACTGGTGTAAGTGCTGCAGCCACTTTGGAAAGTCTGGCAGTTCCTCAAAAATTTAAAAACAGGCCAGGCATGGAGGCTCACACCTATAATCCCAGCTACTCGGGAAGCAGAAATCAGGAGATTATGGCTCAAGGCCAGTCAGGAAAAAATTGAGACCCTGTCTCAACCAATAAGCTGGGCATGGTGTGGGCACCTGTCATCCCAGCCACTTGGGAGGCACAGGTAGGAGGATGGCAGTCCAGGTCAGCCTAGGCAAAACACGAGACCTATTTAAAACCTACCTAAAGAGAAAAAAAAAAAGTTTACAACATGCAGTGAGCAATGCACCAGCAATGCTACAGTCACACAGAAGTCTGCAAGCCCTAACATCCAAAAGGTACAGGCCATCTAATGCCCATCAGTGGACAAGTTTGCAAATAAAACAGAGTAACCCCATACTGTGGACTATTACTCAGCCACAGAAAAATGGGATGGCAACATCTGCCTCAACACAGATGGGCCTCGAACATGCTAAGTGAGAGAAGTGAAGATATGAAGCCACCTGCAGGAAAGGTACAGCTTGTTTGGGGTGTAGTCTTTAGAACATGTTCCTCCCCAAAGACCCTGTCTCCATCAGCAGTCACTCCCTCTCCTCTCCCTGTCCTTGTCCCAACCACCACTGGCTTCTTTGTGCCTCTGTAACTCATGGCTCTGATTCCCCACAGACGTTTCTGCAAAAAATCTACTGTCTCCGATTTGTTCCTACAGAGCAGTGCTCACCTGAGCCTTCCCACCATTTGGGACCTGAACTTGCTCCTAGAACCCGGACGGGCCAAGCCCTGTCCTCAGGCTTCACATAGACGAATCCGTGTATGCTGTGTGTGTTTGTGTGTTACTGAGATTTGAACTCAGAACCTTGCACTTGTCAGGCAGGTGGGAGTGCTCCGGTCCTTTTTCCTTTAAGTTATGTTTCAAATAAGGATTCTTGTTTTTCTCCAGGGCCAGCCTGGACCCCAAGCAGGAGCCACCATGCCTGGCTTGTTCATTGAGATGGAGCAGCACTAACTTTTTACCTGGGCTGGCCTCCAAGTGCGATCCTCCCGATCTCCACCTCCTGAGAGCCTGTGATGATAGGTGCGAGCCACCTCACCTGGCTCAACCCCATTCATTCTTGTGACCCATGACACAGGCCCACAGATGAGGAAATTGAGGCACATCAATCAGCGTGAGAAATGTATACATTTTGTGCAAAATTAGCAGACGGCGAGTCACACTGTAGTACTCTGTATTCTGTCACACTCTTCAGAACCGTGGACGTGATTCCGATAGCACAGTCCACCTGCCTTGAGGAGCAGGACTGCAGGGCCAGCGACCATGTCGGCACGTCATTCAGCACAGGGACAGTCCTTCAGTTCTGTGCACACAACTCAGCTCACCTGACAGGTTAGAAATGTCACTTCCTGGGGCTGGGGGTACAGCTCAGAGGTACAGCAAGTGCTTGCCTAGCAATGGTTTGATCCCAGCACCATGAGAAAAGGAAAAGCCAGTTTTTACATAAACTGTATGACTTTTTTTAGTGATATCATGCAGTATTGGGTAGAGAATGGTGGGCAGGACGCTGTCACACCCAGGCTCATGGGAGGACAAATTGGGGGCGGGGGGCTTTCTACAAGACAATTTCATGACATTTATCGAGCACTCTGGCCCGGTAATTCTACTTCCAGGAATTCACTGTAATGAAATAATGGAGGACAGAGATTCATCCACACGGACAGTAATGGCAGCAAAAAATTGAACACACTTTAATTGTCCTGAGTCTCAGGCTGGGGAAAGGAATATGACCGTCCGTGCACAGGAGACTCCGACAGGCCCATTAAAAACAGAGAGGCCCGGGAGCCGGCACGAGTGACTGCAGGGGGCACAGCCTACCGACAGCACGACTCGTTCTTAAGAGACTGCAGGCAGTGCGCAGAAGGAACAGACCAGCACAGTACGACTGGGGGTGAGTCGTGAGAACACCATGGCTCACTCGTTCTTTTCTGTAATTTCTACAGTAAGAGCGGAAGACAAAAACGTAAGATCGATTCAAAAGCACTCAACTCCACCACAGAAAGCGGGCGCGTGCCTGTAATCCCAGCATGCAGGAGGCTGACGGAGGAGCACGGAGAGTTCATGGTCAGCCTGGGCTATGGGCAGGACCCTGCCAAAAGGAAACAGTGGGGAGGGAGAGTAGGGGAGGGGAGGAGAGGGAGGGAGGAAGAGGAAAAGGAAAAGGGAGGGAAAGGGTGGAAGGAAGAGGAGGGGGAAGGGAAACTGACACCCCAGGTCAGGAGGGCACAAAGAGCAGAGCTGGCCACCTGGCTTCTGTCCCTGGCAAGGTTCCATTAGCAAAAGCAGGCAAAGGTGCCAATCTCAAAGGCTGAAAAGAACCAGAGCTCCTATGAAAACCAACTGTCCCCCAGGAGAAAACACCACAACCCTGGGCACCCAGTTCCCTCTGCTGTGTTCTGGGCAGGCACCCCCAACCGCCCCCCCCCACCCGCCGCCGCCCCGCAAGGCCCTGGGCCCTCAGTGGAGCCCAGCCCTGGCTTCCACTGCCAGGCTGTGGCTTTACTCCATCCACACTGACCCTGTGGAGGCCTCGCTCTGAACTACCTACACACGGACCCCATGCTGCTCCGGCTCCTCCTGGCCTATCCTAACACTAGGGTGACAGTCGTTCCCGGCCCACCATCATCTCAATGCCAAGCATCCAGTACCAAGCAGACTGCTGTCCCTCCATCTGGCCCCTTGGTGCACCTGGAACCCAGTCATCTTTCAGCGTCACCATTGCCTGCTCCACTGCAATGCCCCTCATCGCTCTCCGTCCTCCCTCCACAGTTCAGTTTCCATGGTCCCTGTGACACTGTCAACCCCCTTGGCCCTCTGTGCCCCCATGGCTGTTGCCTGAAAAACCAGCCTCCAGCCCTGCCCCTGCCTGCCTGTCTACACCACTCCTGGGACTTCACAGGGCTGGAAAATCCCCAGGACTGGGGACCCACCTCAGTTCAACCTCAGAACCTCCAACCCCCAGGGACTCTTTAGGGCGGTGCAGTGACTATACCATGGTCCCTAATCCAGCCCTGTCCCATGCTGACTTTCACCACCTCCATATACGACATCCTCCCCTCCTCTGTGCTCGGCGGAGGACTTCCATCCCGATCACTGAGCCACAGAGGCAATCAAAGGAAACAGGCTCCCCTCCCCACTTCCCGGCATCAGCAGCTCTGCCCTCTACTGAGCCCCCTACCCCTACACCTCAACACTCTCAGGACACTCTCGGGACCACACTGGCCCTTCAGTGCACCCCATTTCTCAGGGCTCCTCTCTGCCTCTCTCGTAACCTGACCCCAGCCCCTCTACCACAAGGACAGCTCGTGGCTCAGGGCCCTTGTACCCATGTGACCTGACCTCACAGCAGTACGTGACACTGCTCTCCTCCTCTCCTGTCCAGCACACTCATCTTGTCATAGTCCTGACCTTGAACCCTGAAGGCCCCAGGTTCGATCTGGACACCAGCTGCACCTGATGGTTCAGCTTTCTCGTCTTCAGGCCTCTTCTCAGACCCACTCTGAACTCACCGCCCACTTGGCCAGTGTAGGAAGTCTGTATGTTACACCTGCACCCACATCTCTCAGTGTGTACCTATGATCCCGAACTAAACATGTAACCAAAACTCTGGCCATCTTCCAAAACCCGTTTTTTTTTTTGCAGCACTGGGGTTTGAACTCAGGGCCTACACCTTGAGCCATTCCCTCAACCCTTTTCTGTGATTTTTTTTTTCAAGATAGGATCTCTCAAACTATTTGCCCCAGCTGGCCTTGAACTGTGATCCTCCTGATCTCTGCCTCCTGCATAGCTGGGATTACAGATGTGCGCACTGGCGCCCAGCCAAAACCCAGTTCTTACTGCAGTGTTTGTCCTCCCAATAAACAGCCAGGTGACAACATCCAGGTTCCAGCTCCAACTGAAACCACCATACCATCCACAACAGAGCACTGTTGGCTCTGTCTTCAAAACACATCCACAATTCCACTTCCTCTACTGCTGGCATCCCAGGCCAGCCATCATCTCTCACCACGATCAACTCATGGCCTGCGCTGATCACTCACTCCTGCCCTCTTCCTCAAGACGATTTTCAACAGTGTCCAGAAGGACATTAAAACACCTGTATCCAGCCAGGTGCTGGTGGATCACACCTGTAATCCCAGATAGTCAGCAGGCTGAGATCAGGAGGATTGTAGTTCCAGGCCATCTTGGGCTAGTTTTCGAGACCCCATCTCAACCACTAACTGGGCACAGTGGTGTGCGTCTATTATCCCAGCCACACAGGAGGTTGAGGTCAGGAGGACTGGGGTTCCAGGCCAGCCTGGGGGAAAAAAAAAGTTTGCAAGACCCCATTTCCACGGAAAAAAAACTGGGTGTGGTGGCACATCTGTCATCCCAGCAATGCTGGGAAGGTTGATAGGAGGACAAAAAGCGAGACCTCTATCTCCAAAATAACCAGAGGGAGAAGGACTGGGGGAGTGGCTCAAGTGATAGAGCAAATGCCTAGGAAGTGCGAAGCCCTGAATTCAATTCTCAGTACTGCCAAAAAATTCAGAATAAACAAATACCTGTGTCCGATTATGTATCACCTATGTTTGTAAACTTCTCAAGGTTTTCCCTTCCACTTGGAGGCCACAGGTTCCCACGAGATGGCCGCGCTCCTTCCCCCTGGCCCAGGGAACCCAGGGCTCCTGGCTGGTCCCCCTGGCCTGAGGCTTCCTCTACCTGAGGTCCTTCCAGCAACCAAGGTCTCTCCCCAGCTTCGCCCCCCACGCTCCAACCCCTGCTGTAGATCACCAGCTGGTGTGTGATCCTATTCATCCTGTCTTCCCGGCAGGAACTGGGTCCACTCGTTCCCAGAGTTGTCTCTATTAGGTCCACTGCTGTGGCCTGAGAACCTTGAGCAACGACGATACACAGGAGGAACCCAAGGAACGTTCATTGAATGAATGCATGACTGCATGAGTGAATAAACTCATGTATGCGTGAATAATTGAACGAATAAATGACTGAAACACGGAGCGAGCTTAAGATGGAAAGCGAGCGCCCAAACGCCTCGCGGGCAACTAGGGCTGACTGAGCTGCCACCCGGATCAGGGGACAGACACCCCGCCACCTGGAAGCCAGGGGTCCTTCACCCCGTCCGCGGCCGCCGACCCGGTCCCGGGAACCCTCGGTACCGCCGCCAGGGCCTCCGAGCAGCCACGTGGACAGGCCGCAGCCCGACGGACAAGGGTGACGCCCGCCCCGGATTCGGGATGTCCTCCGCCGCCCGGGGCCTCCCGACACCCGGCCGCTGGCGCCACGTACCTGCCTCAACCCACCCGCTTGGCTCACGCGTCTCAGCACCCCGGACGCCGGCTTCCGGCAGGCTCTGCGCCTCAGGTGCGCCCCAGTCCCGCCTTCAAGCGTGCGGCGCCTCCCATTGGCTGAGGACTGCCTCCGTCTTCCCGCCTGCCAATGGCAAGCGACATCCGCATGGGGGCGGGGTCCAGGGCGGGCGCCGAGTTATTGCGTCATCTCCAGGAGCCCCAGCCGGTTACTAGGGTAACTCTGCGGGGTTTGTACACGTGCTGCGCTGCGCTGGGCGGGCTCGAAGCTCCATCCAGGAATTCCAGCGAGTGACCCCGGCGGTGGCACCCAGCTTTCATGACGAACTCTTAAAAACCAGCCATCTGGGTAGTACATGCGTGCGGGGGTCAGATCGTGGCTCCTAGAGAAACAGTAATGTAAATGTGTTTCCTGCGGGGCAGAGGTGACAGCTGTGCCCACCAGCTTTTGAGGTGGGGCAGTATTTGCAGGAAGGTGGAGTCAGGGGTTCTTTTTTATTCGTATTTTTTGTGATACTGGGATTTGAACTCAGGACTTCATGCTTGCTGGGCAGGCGCTGTACCACTTGAGCCACACCCCCGGCCCTTTCTGCTCTGGTTATTTTGGAGATGGGGGTCTGCTTTTTTTTCGCCCAGGTGCGCACCACTGCACCCAGCGATTGGTTTAGATGGGGTCTCTTGAACTATTTGCCCAGGCTGACCTCAAGCCTCAGTTCTCCTGATCTCAGCTTCCCAAGTAGCTGGGATCACAGCTGTTAGAGCAAGCTGCTGCTTTCTGTCCTTTGTAGTTTTTGCTGTTACAAATAATCTACAGTAAATACCGTTTGTCTCCTCCTGTACATACATGAAAGTGTATATGACACAACTCAGACCTACTGGGCCCCTGGAATAATCACGCTCAGCTTTTTTTTTTTTTTTTTTTTTTTTGGCAGTACTGGGGTTTGAACTCAGGTCCTCACGCTGGCCAGGCAGGTGCTCTCTACACCTTCAGCCACTCCACCAGCCCTTTTTGTGTGATGGGTTTTTTTGAGATAGGGTCTTATGAACTATTTGCCCAGACTGCCTTTGAATCGCTATCCTCCTAATCTCTGCCTCCTGAGTAGCTGGGATTACAGGCGTGAGCCACCATGGTCGGCTGTAAGGATTCTTTGTGTGCTCTGCACACCACAACTGGATCAGATGAGCTGGTTGTGACTGTTGTCCCTTTCCCGAGAGCCTGCTCTTTGCTCTCTGATGGTGTCCTCGATGCAGGAATGTTTTTAATTTTGACAAAGTCCACTTCACCTTTTTCTTCTTTTGCTGCTTGTGTGTTTGGTGCCACATCTAAGACATCACTGCCCAGTCTGAGGTCGTGAAGATTTGCTCCTCCATTTTGTCCTGAGAGTTGAGTGGCTTTTGCTCCTACACATAGAGCTGTGAGCCATTTTGTGTGTGGCGTGAGGAAGGGATCCAACTTTGCCCTTTCCCGCATGGCTGTCTGCTTGTCACTGCACCATCCCCAGGTGTTTTGCTATGTCCTAGTCTTTTTTGACTGCTGTGTGCACTTTCGTACCGACTGGCGTAATGAGGGATTCCAGTCCCATCCTGTGCCTGCCCACCCCGGCCCTGGAGCCAGCCATGTCTGCAAGAAGCCTGGCCTGTTCTGCAGGGGTGACACTTAGAAACCAGTCTCTGCTGCTGACAGCACTCAGGGTTGCTGGACTGTTCTTGCTCCTAGGTCCTTTCAGCATTTTCAAAATAAATGGAAAAATGATTTTCCTATCTTCTCTCAAAAAGATGACTTTTTTTCTTTAGGTAGTGGGGTTTTGAAATCAGGGCTTCATGCTTGCTAGGCAGGTGCTCTATCACTTGAGCCACACCCCCGGCCCTTTGAGCATTGGGTATTTTTGAGATAGGATCTCACTTTATGCCTGAACACAAGCCAGACACCAGTGGTTCACGCCTGTAATCCTAGCTACTCAGAGGCAGAAATCAGGAGAATTGTGGTTCAAAGCCAGTCTGGGCAAATAGTTCATGAGACCCTATCTCAAAAAATATCCCATCACAAAACAAGGCTGATGGAGTGGCTCAAGTGGTAGAGTGCCTGCCTAGCAAGCGAGAGGCCATGAGTTCAAACCCCAGCACTGTCTGTGCTACTTCTGTGGCTATGTTATGACACCAGCTGCCATTATGGAAACAGGTGTCCACTAGGAGAATCCACAAGTGGCCAGGAGGACTCTGGGTAGCTGTGGACACCCCAGGGGGTGTTAGTAATTCTGAACATCTTGACCTCTTGACACTTAAAAGTGAGATGCATGTGGCAATGAAATGCAGAATAGAAGCTGCTTTCCACAGCCATAAAATGTGCATTTGTCCCCAGATGACCAGAGTGAGCACTAAGGGACTAGTGCATCACACCAACCCAGGAACCCACAGCCTCCACCCCACAAGCAGCACCCAGAGGCTACCATGGAGGAGAAAACACCATTCACAACAGAGCTGAACATCATGAGCTAAACGAGGCACACGCCAGACTTCTGCACGAAACCTTAGGACACACAGCACGCACCCCATAGTAGGTCAGATCAGAGAGAGGACAGCCCTTCCGTATTCTCAAAGACTCAGCCTCGTGTCCGTTTTCCCTGATCTACTCTATCTGAGATGATTCTGGTATTTCAGGAACTACTTACTTAGGTCGACACTCGGGTTCATAGGGAATACAAGACATGGAAGAATATGGAGTGAAGGGCTGGGCACCGTGATGCACTCCTGTAATCCCAGCTGTCAGGAGGTGTAAGTAGGAGGATCACAGTCCAGGCCACTCTGGGGACAGATGCACAAATAACCCAAAGCAAAAAGGGCTGGGGGTGCGGCTCGATGTGGCTGCTACTCAAAAAGCAGAGATGAGGAGGATCATGGTTTGAGACCAGTTCAGGCAAAAAGTTATTGAGATCCCATCTCAACCTACAAACGGGGCATGGAGGGGAAGCTGTCGTCCCAGGTTATGTGGGAAGTGTAAAGGATCCACACTTGAAAGCAGGCACTCCACCACTGGAGCCACACCTCCAGTCCATTTTGGTTTGGTTACTGTCGAGATGGGGTCTCATGAAATTTTTTCCTAGGTTGGCCTCGAACTGTGATCCTCTCATTCTCAGCCTCCAAGTAGTTGGGATGACAGGTGTGAGTCACCAGGCCAGGCAATAGATAAATTTTTATGTTTCTGTTAATTATTACAAAATCATTCTTTCTGCCACCTAAGAAGCAGTTTTAGACATAACGGCACCATTCTGTCTTTACCCTTGTAAAAAAAAAATTGCATGTTGAAACAGACTTTGTGACTCTTCCGAGAATGATAAAAGTAAAAGCCACAAATGACCCGGCTCGAGGCCTATCATTTAAATACATAAACACCAGGACCCAGGATGAGTGCCATGCTGCAGGCTGTCCTGAAAGGAACCTGAGGCAGGGCCACACAGGCAGGGTCCCTGGCCCCTTCAAACTGAGTTAAGTCTGGCTTTTCTTTTCCTCCTTCCTTCCCATCCCGGAGATTGGACTCAGGGCCTCGTGCTTGCCTGGCAGATGCTCTACCACTTGACCCAGGCCTCCAGCCTTTTGTTTATGGTTTATTTTTCAGCTAGGACCTCGAGCTTCAGACTGTGATCTTCCTACCTCTGCTTCCCGAGTAGCTGGGATTACAGGCATGCACCACCACACCCAGCCCAAAGCTGCCTTTCCCAGCTCACAGCAGTGTTCTTGCCACAAGCTCCCTATAAACTGACGCCAGGGCCCGCCGCATCTCATTTGCCCAGAATGCTGAGGCTTGTCCTGGCTTCAACATGCAGCAAATCACGGAGCCTGGGACTGGGGGGACCACGCAGAGGTTGGACCGCCCTCCATGTCACACGGTTCTCTTAAGACACAGGCAAAACTGAGACGGCACCAATGATACCGAGACTGAAGCTCCAACTTGGAAAAGTGAGACTGGCTCATTGTACAAAATGTCCCTTTGTCACACCATCAGCTCCAGAACCAAGGCAGGGTGACGCCCAGCTGGCTCAGACCCACTGTCCCCAGCTCCTGGAGGGAAGACAGCCTGTGACGCTGGCGGCTCTGACATAGGCCGCTGTTGCCACCTTGTGGTAAGTGTCAACACTGCAGCCCACACAGTAGATGGCCACGGATCTGAATCAGGCCAAGGCCAACCCAGGAAAGGGAAAGTCCACACCCCATGGCCACCTCTTTGCGGCCATAGGTGGCTCAGAGGGCGCTGTGGGCCGTGTGGAGCCATGCTGGAGCATGCTGGAGCTCGCTAAATGACACGCATAGAATGTCAAGTGCATCCGTCCACCCTGGTGCCACGCGAGCCTGTGCGGCCTGCTCCTACGACAGGTGCAGAAACGGGGCTGTGCGACCAACCGCTCCAGGTGGCTGTCGCTGGGCACCAGGCTCACACCTGTAATCCCAGCTACTCGGGAAGCAGAAATCAGGAGGATGGAGGTTCAAAGCCAGCCTGGCCAAATAGTACGTGAGACACTATCTTGAAAAAAACCATCACAAAAAAAAAGAAGGGCTGATGGAATGGCCCAAGGTGTAGGCCCTAAGTTCAAATCCCAGTATTACAAAAAAGGTGACTGTCACTTGCAGCTTGGGGCTCCAAATGCCTCCTGCCGCCCAGGGCTCCTTGGCCACCTCCACTGCACCCCAGCAGCTGAGGGGACTCCCCCACCCCACCTGGACGAGAGCACACAAGTTGCTGTGGTCACTCAGAAGTTCATGCACTGCTTGACACGAACTCCCCACGTGTCCCAGGAACACGGCCACCATCTGTCAACACTTAGAAGGCACTTGGGCCTCCCCCGCTCCATGGGATGCTGCCACCTATGGCCTCGCACTCCACTGTGAGCAGCCCAGTCAGTCAGTGTCCCCGGCTCAAATTCAGTAGGAAGACACTGACTTCCTTTATTAAAGAGGCAGTAATTTGCTGGTGTGGTGGTGTGCGCCTATAATCCTGGCACTGGGGAGGCTGAGGTGGGAGCATCTTGACTTCATTGCCAGCCTGGGCTGCACAAAGAAGAAAATGAGCTGGCGTGCAGCTCAGGACGGCCCGGGTTCCACCCCCAGCACCACAGGAAAAATAAAGTAATTCAAACTCCACGAACACCGTTTTCACCGGAAAGGGAAGAACCAGCCATAAAACACAGTTGACAGGAAGCAGGGAAGGTGACAGAGAAGATTTTTGGAAGTGACTTGACACTTCTGTCAAAATGTATTATGTGTGTGCCCTTCAGTCCCACAACAGCCACTAGGAGGCCACAAGGTGAGCACCTCAGCAGACGGGCAGAGACCCAGCTGTCCACCGGACGGGAGCACTGTGTTGTGTGTCTGTGTGGCTGCTCGTGCCTGCGGGAGGACACCTGAGGGTGTCAGAGGGAAAAGCTGGCAGAGGCAATATTGACATTTATAGTCACAGGATCACTGGCATGGTGGTGAACCACATTAATCCCAAAGATTGGGAGTTTTCAGAGTTTGGAACGCTTGTTGCACGTTTGCGATGGGAGCCGAGGTGACCAGTTCACCTGTGTCACACACACCTTACCTAGGTCCTGCAGGCAGTTTAAGCTTCCTGCGGTGTGGTCCTCAAACCCAGGGCCTCAGTGCACTACCACTGAGTCACATCCCGGCCTGAAAGCAAAGCTGTGGGGGACATCCAGGTGCCCGTGTGTGTGACCACTATGCAGGTGCGGGCTCCCAGGCAGCGGGTCAGGTCGGGGTACACAGTGTCCCGGTGGGTCTGGGACAGCACTGACCAGCAGGGACAACTTGGACCCTAACTGGCTTTGAATGGCAAGTTGGTGCAGGTAAGGAGAAACAGGTGAAACTAAGTTAGAGGCTGTTTTAAGCAGTTCCATGTGAAATACACCACCTCAACCTGTAAACGTTACCAATGACAATGACACAGAATTTCATCAGATTCGGATTGGATGAAAAGTCCAGCAGAAATACCAGATCTGTATGGCTTTCACAAACTTCAGTTATGCAGTGGACCCGTCCACCTCCCCCCTACCACATCTGAACGCCGTAGAACAAACTGAGCAGCTTTAAAGGTCAAACTTCAGCTGCGCCGGCTGCATTGTGACTGTCCACCACAGCTCGCCCAGCGGCTGCCATGCAAGACAAAGGGACAGAGAGCGGCTAGTCCTTGTGTCCCCAGGCCAGCAGCGACACCTGGAACTTAGAATTCTCAGCACAAATCTCAGGTCCACTCAGATGGAGTCAGAAACAGTGATGGCCCAGCGCTGAGGAGCCGGTGCGGGACAACGGCTGGTCAGGACAGGAGCTGTGAGGATGGCACAGGAGCGAGCAGCCAGCAGCCAGCCATGCAACACGCCCCATCTCCAGGCCACGGACCCAGAAAGGAAGGCAGCGTGGGCCGAAGCTCACCACGCACCGCAGTCAGCCGTGTCTTTTTTCTAGGAAATTCTTTATTAAGGGGATTTCCAGTGGAATTACCGTACAGAACACACACGTACAGGGGACGACCGTGATGCAATTTGTTACGTCACTGGGGAAAGGTGAAAACTTCGTGACAGTTCAAACTTCTCTGCCTTGTTTTTCTGAACACTGACCTGCCTGATGGGACGTCTCGGCCCCATAAGGTCAGGACAGCAGGGCCGGCACCCACCTTACCCCCACATCGCTCAGTGCGAATCCAGTGCTGTGTGACCGCTTCCTAACCACAGTCCTCACTGCACAAGTCACAGCGTCAGGCTGTGGCCGAACGCCCTGTCCCCACGGCTCTGCCCCCTGCTTCGGCTTTCTGCTCTACAACCTCCAGGACTCAAGGAGACTCCGCCTGTGCCGTGGTTTCAAGGCAGTGTGGAAGCTTCTATTTCTTCAACACTTTGAAGAGCTGCATTTGTGACTTTATTCTTTGTGTTGAAACCGAAGCCATGTACAAATGAGCTGTGTCATGGCCGGTTCATGACTTTAGCCACTGTGGCAGACGGCACGCGGCAGGCCAAGTGTCTCAACCCTCAAAGCAGCCCCAGGCATTAGTCACACATGGCATGGGACAGATGCATGTTCTCTTGGGACTGTGAGCGGATGCCCCGGACAAGGACCCTTCATCAGGCAGGCGAGGTCCCCTCATTCCCTGGCACAGAAGGCCACCTCCTTGGGAAGCTGGGTGGAGACCCTGGAGCTCCAGCCAGTAGCCTAAGATTAAGCAGCAGAATCTCCCAGGAGATTGGGCTTTGGGCTGGCCTGGCCTGGGATAGAGCTGTCCCCACCTGGGCACCCCAGTCCTCTGCTCCTGTCACTGAGCTTTTGTTGTTATGACAATGTAAGTCACCTGGAGGGTCACTCAGCACCTTCTGATCTCTACTCTGCCAAGTGTCCATGTGTTCTACTGGAAATGGATCAGGTTCAGACTGTGCTGTGAGGAGTGTGGAAGGAGTCGTGTAAGACGCAAACCAAGGCCAGCACAAGGGACAGTCACCTCACCACTTCACTTTCCACCTGGAAGAGAAGAAACAGAATCAAGGGACTTTGACGTGGTTTGGTCACCTAGAAGTGTCCTCCTCAAAACCATGTAGGAGGCACGGACACACTGCAGAAGCAGCGAGGACATTTCAGCCTTGACCACCAGGAGCACAAACGACCATGATTGTGACCTGGAGCCTGCGCCATCTTCCTCAGGGGACCAGACTATGGCCATTGGCTACTAAGCACACTACAATCCCGTGTGCATGCCACTGGACTGTACCTGAGTCGCTGGACCAGCCAACCGGAGGACGGGGCGTGTAACGTTCCTGACGACGTGGGCTCAGAGGCTGTGGCGGTTGAACACCTGCACGAAGGTCAGATATGATCACTCAGCACCAGGAACCTCGAAGGTCTGGGCAGCTGGGCAGTGGGCCACAGCCTGGTTCAGGCACACACACCATGACAGACGTCCAAATGCAACTGGAGAGGACCTTGTCCACCTTGGACATCAGCTGGCGAGGCCAAAGGCTCTGCTGCTTGATACAGGTACTAGCATTGTGGTGGAACTGTGTCATCCCCCGCCCACCCCCCACATGAAGTCCCAACCCAGGACCTCAGAACCTTATTTGGGGACAGAGCACTCCCAGGGGTGATCAAGGGCAGAACCGGTCAGCAGAGCAGTGTGACAGGTCCTTATGGAAAGGGAGGGACGCAGATATGCACAGGAAGACGATGGCAGAGATGGAGTGACATGTTACAAGTCTGGGCTGAGCAAGGACAAATCGCAAGCAGCTGGGAGAGGCCTGGGCAGCCCCTGTGCAGCTCTCAGGAGGAGCCTGGCACTGACCCACAGGACCAACTCCTGCTGCTGGGGCCACGGGCTCGGCTATGGCAAACGCCGAAACCAAGGGAACAGGACTCCAATCAGAACTCAGAATCTAGTTTTATTAACCCGCCCCCATCCCAGAGGTCCAGTGTCCCAGCTCGATGCCGTGCAGCAGGAGCCCGTCCTCACCCCGCTTTGCCGGGGGAGCCACCCTCAGGTCGGCAGCCGTGGTCCAGAGGGTGTCGGTGCCCGATGCAGAAGTTACGGCGACACTGCACACAAGCCAGCTGCAGCGCCTCCTTCTTCCGGCACCCCTCCTTCGAGCACCGGTACAAGAACACCTAGGACAGCAAAGTCACTCAGTGAACGACATGCCAGCAGGAATGTCCACCACACGGAAGGAGCTCTGGGGGCACTGGGGACAGGGAAGCTATCCTTATGAGGGACAAGTGGGCTGCACTACCTGTGGCCCCCCCCCACACTAGCCAATGGTTTCTTGGAGGGCCAGGTGGTGACATAAATTCCCAGGTGCTTGTACTTCCTCTGAGTTAAGAAGGGACCTGGGGGACCCCTGCCTCTGGCAAAGGCAGGCATGTCTGCCTAAGGTGGCAGGGAAAGGAAGACCAAGGGTGACTCTGGATCAAGCCCTGGGCGAGGGGAGAAGCCGGGGTGGGTGGACTTGTATCCCACAGAAAGGCCCAGCCAGCAAGGACGGCCAGCACGTGGCAGGGCTTTGTGTGACATACTAAGAAGTGTAGACTGCATTCCCTTATATGTGAGGCTGGAAACAAAGCACCGTTAACAGCCTAAGATGTAGGGACAGCCGTGCAGAAGGGTCTCACAAAGTGCTGATTAAGACAGAGAATAACCACAGCTGGGCACAATGGCCATGCCTGTAATCCCAGCACTCAGGAGGCTACGGCAGGAGGATAGCGAGTTCTAGGCCAGTCCAGGCACCTGGTGAGACCCCCCCCCCCCGTCTCAAAAAACAAACAAACAAAAAAAGGACAACTGATAAACCACAAAGCAGCACCTGTGACTAAGACCAGCTTCCTAGAAGAATAGTCATCTTACAAGTGCTCATCTCACAGAACAACTCTACACGGTGAGGCCGCACCTGAGGAAAACCACCTGAACAACCTCCCAGGGAGGACGAGGTGAGGAGCAGGGCTAGTGCTGGGGAGGCCATGCTCTGAGTCTGCAGGGGACACTTCTGTGGAGGCCATGCTGAACCAGCCTCCTGAACACCTGTGGGGCCCTACCTCCCTGAAATGCTGCGAAAGTGACAGAAAAGGGCTTTGTGAAAGGGAGAAGCCCACAAGGGCACAGAGTAAACAAGAAGTGACCACAGAGCTTGGAGGCTGAATGGCATACAGACAAGTAGCAGTGGGTTGGCTGGTAAGAGAAAGCCCAAGTGTGGCCAGGCAGAGTGGCTTCCACCTGTAATCCTACTAACTCGGGAGGATTATGGTTCCAAGGCCAGCCCAGGCAAAAGGTCTGAGAGACCCCATCTCAACCTATAAAAGGCTGAGTGTGGTAGCACTACCTATTACCCCAACTTCAGCAGCAAGGGTTAATCAGAGGATCACAGTCCAAGCTGGCCCAAGCATAAAAGCGAGACTCTGTTCAAAAAATAACTGAAGCAAAAAGGATGGGGATGTGGCTAAGTGGTAGAACACCTGCTGGCAAGTTGAAGGCCCTGAGTTCAAACCCAGTACCAGACAGAAAGAGAGAGAGAGAGAGAGAAAGAGAGAGCGTGCGCACGTGTGAGAGCGAGTGAGCCCCCGAGTATAAGCTGGAGGAAGCCATGGAGCAGCCCTGCTTATGAAACAAACCCCAAAGATGCAGAAGTTACCATCAGGGCCAGGGAGAACAGGACACAAAGAAGGGGCAGTAGGTCTGTCTCAGAAAGGTCCCAAGACCTCTACCCAGTGCAGAAGACCCGGGGGCGGGGGAATAGGGGGAGCTGCACGGTCACAGACAGCCACTTTTCACGTTGGGGGTATGTGCGAGGGGGGTGAGGGGGTAGAGGGCTTCTCAGGTCACAGAGCCGATTCGGAACCTGCTTACCTTCTCCCTCTGCTTCCCAGGGTGACGCACGCAGTCCCTGTCCATGTGCTGGCCGACTATCACATCTGGAATCTCTCCCTTCTTTACAGGGATGGGGACATTACACAGTGGACACACGGGGACATGGACATCCTAAAAAGAATGAACACAAGGTAATATCTGAGACTCAGAAACCCAAACGTCACACCGGGAATCTGACACGGCCTATGTCCGAGACTTGAGAGAACATGATATCAGGGAAGCAGACAGACAGGACGGAGCTCAGGCTCCTAGACATAAAGTACAAACAGCCTCTGAGAGCGAGTGAAGACAGGGAAGGAAGCTGGTGAGGTCAGCGGGGTCTCAGGACAGCAGGTCCAGGAGCAGGACATGCCCGACATTTCAGAGTGAGATCACAGGTGGAGTCCCTGAGCGGAGGGTCTTCCAGCTCACGTCAAGCACCTGCAGTAATGACAGGGCCCCATGCGTGGGGCTGCCTGTGCGTGGGGCTGGCGGGCACAGCAGTGCCCCTCCTGTGGCGGGTCCACTGAGGACTAAAGTTCTATGATGTCACCTCCAGCCAGACCCCACCCGCACAGGGAAGTGGGATCCAGCTGCAGTAAGGTCTGGACGACACTCACAGGGAGCTGGCCATGTCATCAGATGTGTGCAATGAGTTGCTCGCCCCGCCCACCTCATGACCTACAGAGGCCCGCATGGTGGCCAACTCTGGTTGAAGCACATGATGCTGAGTCACCCACACTCCACCTGCCACCGGGGTGGCCAACGTCACTGAAGTAACCTGTGAACCACCCAGAAATGAAGCCAGCACAGCTGGGAGCCACCTGAAGCCAACAATGCAAGCCTGACAGTTGTGTATGGCAGTGAGCCGGTGTTGCCACAGGTGCATTGTGTACCATCAATCTTGGAAAACCAGGCCCGCTGCACAAGGCCACGAACCAGCCCTTAACCTCTTCTGATCAGCCCCGCGCATTGAGGACCAAACAAGGACCCTTACGCTCATGAAGACGCCACCACTGGTCCTTGGCACACTGGATCACAAAACCGAGCACGGAAGGTGAGGGCATGTGGACGTGGACGTGTACATCAAGAAGGCTGCAGCTTGGCCAAGAGGAGCCCAGCTTCCCTGAGCCTCAGGGATCCCATCAACAGCTAGCAGCGGCTGCGAGTGCCATCCCTAACATCCGCACAGGATGCCATTTGCAAGACGTGCTGTGACAGTTTCTAACCCCAGGCTGCCTGCTGTCTTGCTGACTGCTCCAAAGGACTCCCTCAAAAGCAATCAGGGGCAGCTGTGTGTACAGACAGTACCCAGCACCAATCTAAACTTCCTCCTAGCCACTTGTAGGCCAGCAGAGACAATCAAAAATTGTTTAAAACAACTTATTTCACCTCATTCTTTTTTCCCTTTAAAGATCCAGTCCTTGCCAGGCAGGTGGCTTATGACTGAAATCCTGGCTACACGGGAGGCAGAGATCAGGAAGAAGGATGTTTGAGGTCAGCCCAGGCAAAAAGTTCACGAACCCCACTTCAACCAATGAAAAACTGGTGTGGTGCACTTGCACACCTGTCATTCCAGCTACAGAGGAAAGATAAACAGGAGGGTGACGGTCAGGCCGACCTGGACACAAGTGCAAGACTCAATCTCAACAATAACCCAAACAAGCAAACAATATGGTACTGGCAATGTGGATCAATTAGTAGAGTGTCTGCCTAGCATGGGCAAAGCCCCCAGTTAAAACTCCAGTACCACCCAAAAAAAGATCCAGAGCACAGAGGTTCGAGATCAGTTGGGGCAAATAGCCCATGAGAACCCCAATTCCAAAATAACCAGAGCAAAATGGACTGGATGCATGGCTAGAGTGGTAGAGCGCCTGCTTTGAAAGCGCGAAGGCCTGAGTTCAAACCCCAGTTCAAAAAAAAAAAAAAGAAGACCCAGTTTACTCCACCCCATGCTGGGAGTTGAAAGAGCTGTCACTGGTCACACACACACCCAATATCTGAAATACAGTTGGTGTGACTAAGAAACTGTTATTTTTTTTAGGCAGGGCAGGGCGGGGCGGGGGGTGTTTGCTGGAGACTGCATCCAGGGCCTTGGGCAAGCTAGATGAGTGTTTACCATGGGATACAAGGAGCTGCCAGTCCTGGGTTTTAAATTGTTATTCACTAGATTAAGTGGCAGCGTCAGCCTTAGTGAGCAGTGCAGACTCGGCCTGCAGACAGGAGGACAAGGAATTACCTTCTTAAACGCAAAGGGGCACTTGTGGGCAGCACAGGCAGCATGATCTTTACAGAAGTCTTGGTTACACGCGTCGCATCTTAGTGGAAGAAAATCTGAAGTACAAACAAACAAAAAAACAAAGGTTTTAAAGACTAGAATAAAGAATATATATATAAATATATATACATAGGTCCTACTGAACAGGTATTTACACAAAGTACCTCACACCTGGGAGATCAAGGTATCCCCACACTTGAGGGTCATGAATCCTGCAAGGCCACAGAGCCGTAAAGGCACGTGGGGAGCTGTGCCACCCCCTCCTCCACAGAGACACTGCGGTATTTAAGCAGCATGTCTACAGCCACTGAACCTGGCAACCAGCAGGTACCTGGCCTTAGTGGGTGACAACAGACCCTGCCTCTGCCAGTGTCCCAGCACCGAGGGGTTTGATGGCCAGCTCTCCCCACAGCAGCCCACAAAGCGCTCACCTAGTTGCTTGCAAGTCTTTTCTGAACAATGTCTCCCCAAGTCAGGAAACTCCATCGTGGAAACAGTGTTCAAGACACAGGTGGCCGTCAAGTATCACCTGTGAGAACAAGATGCAAAGGACAGGGATGAGAGCTGGTCACCAGATTCTATGACTGTAGCAGATGTGCAGGGAGCACGAGATGCCCAAGGCAGCCTGCGCTCCTTCACAAGACCTAGTATGAAATTCTTCTGACTTTGAGCACAAGTACTCAGTGTCACGCAAACCCCGCCAGCAGAGCCTAGCTGCTCCTTGGTCCTTTAAATCCCTTGTTTATAAGGCTTGCAGGGACCTCAGATTAGCATTAAACTGCATTTCATCACACACTGAACTTACACAGCCACCAGGGAAAACCAGCATCTTGCAATTTCACCTCCAGATCAGGCTTGTTGTCGTAAACAAAACTCTTGTCACCAGGTACCAAATCACATTATGGGCCTCCCCGTCCAGAGGAGACCTAACCCTGTCCCCTGCCACTCTCTCTGTCCCTTAGGCACTGAGTTTTATTTACTCTGCTTATTCACTAATGACATCAGGGAGAAGTGACGGCCATTAAGTCACCATGGCAAACAGGAAGGCTAGCAGTGGAGCTGCTGGCACGGAGGGAGGACTGAGGGCCACCACAGTGCTCACAAGCTCACAAGGTCCCCTCCATGACTGCCACCAACACAAACTGCTCAATTTTTTTTTTTTTTTTTTTTTTTAGTACTGAGGCTTGAACTCAGGGCCTTCACCTTGAGCCACTCCACCAGCCCTTTTTTGTTTTTGGGTATTTTTCAAGATAGCGTCTTGAGAGCTATTTGCCTGGGCTGACCTCAAACCCTGATCCTGCCGCTCTGGGCCTCCCGAGTAGCTGGGATTACAACTGCTCAAGACTCCCGGAACTCACACTGGGGGGGTTCCCATCTTCCCATCAGCCTCTCACCCCCACCTAAGCTGCCCCCCCCATCTCCCTCGCCCCAGCTAACACCTGCTCGCCCTGGGGGACCTCAACGTGTCATTTCTCCAAAGGTCAAAGGTCATCCATCCCTAACACCCTTGCCCCCCCATCCCCGCACAGTGATGGTGCCCAGGGTGTTTTCCCAACACAGCAGAGAAGCTGCTCCCCAATTTAGTTTAGAAAATAGCCCAGAGCCTCTCGTCGGCCCCCTGACCTGACCTGGACGACGTGTTCTTGACGCTGTCACCCTGCTGCGACAGCGACACTTCGACCGGACAGGACAGCACCTGCATGCTTTCGCTCAGCTGGACAGGGTGGTGCCTGTGACCCCAGAACTACCTCCTCAGTTACCCCCGGCCCGGGACGGCGTCGGGCTGCGACCCCGCCATGAGTCACCCCGTACCTGGCTCTCGTCGGCGACCCGGGCAGTGGCGGGGCCCTGGGGAAGGTGACGGAGATGGAAAAGCGGGTGTCCCTCTCCGTGGCCAAGGTGGCAAGAACGACTGTATCCGGAGCCACAAAGTGTCCGAGGAGCTCCTGCACCCACAAGAAGCGCAGCATCACGACGTCCACAGTCACCCGCCATTTATCCGCGGCCGCCCTGGGCGGTCTGAGAATCCCGCGTCCTGGGCGTTTCCGACGCGCCCCGACGACGTCACGTCCAGACTGGCCAATCCCGCTACGCCAAGGCGGGCAGTTCCGGCGCGCCCCACACGTCATCGGACACCCAGCCAATCCTGCCGCGCCACGGCCCGCCCACTCCCCGCCCCTCCGCCCTCTTTCTGGAAGAGTCCAGCAGCGTCGCCCGCGCTGGGCTGAGTCACGGTGAGGCGGCGCCGCTCTGCGCAGGCGTAGCAGGGCCACGAGCGCGGTCACCGCTGCCCCGCGGGTCCCTCGAGGCGTTTGGGACAGGCTACAGGTCTAGCTATGGCGGCCCACCGACTCGAGGGGGCAACCGCGGGACCGGGCCAGGGGGGAGGACAGGTGGCCGAATCCACAAGGCCAGGTCGTCCTGGGGGAGGACAGAGGAAAGGTGGGGGTGGCCCCGTCCCCTTGCAAGTAAGGACAAAGTCAGGGACAGACTGCAAGAGCAGTGCCCAAAATGCCGGTGTCCCAGTTCCCAGTGTGCCCCTTGGGGTCACGGGATGGAAAGCTCTACTTAGGACTTTTTGGTTTTTTTGAGTGTTGGGTGCAAAAGGCGGATGGACAGACGGACGGACAGACGCTCGCAGCTCCAGTGCTGAGAGCTGGACACTTGTGGCTGCAGGTGCTCAGGTTAGGGGCTCACACCCCGTGCCATGGCCTTGCGCTTGGATAAGGAGATCCCTGGCTGTGGTTGACAGCTGAGCGCCTGCTGTCACAACGCTGTCCTGGCCTAGGACCGGGGACACTGGACCCATAATGAAAGCGGAATTTTAGACCCAACACCCAAACTCCTGGGACGCCATATGCCAGGTCCACCCACCGCCCCTGCACGCCAAATGAAGAGGCCTGGTGACAGGAAAAGGCGGTTTATGACACGGCTGGGGACACCGGGGGAAGAGGCACAGTGAGCCTCAGCCCATCCTCTGCCATCTTCGGGGTGCAGACGTGAGCTGTAGGTTCAAGTAGAGAAAGGACTGGGGGCAGGGGACAAAGGCGTGACAGTGACACAGTCCCAGTCACGGGTGTGGTCAGCTTGACCATTATCTCCTCCAAGGGTTCTGAGGGGTTCTGGAGAAGATGTCATCGCTGTCATCTCTTGAGGGGAGTGAACTGGTTCCCGTGAGGTGACCGCTCCTGCTCCAGGGCACAGCCTCACCATTGCAGGTCATCGTCCTCATCTGGAGGCGTCTGTCCTGCAAGTCCCCACTGTTCCTTGTGGGAAGTTTCAGTCCCTCGTCATAAAGAGGTCATCAGTCCTGTCCTTTCTGGAATCCAAGCTGATTGCAAAGTGACTGCAAAGAGAAAGGCTGAGAGCAAAGACAGATGCACGATGGCGGCAGGGACGCCAAGCTTCTCCTGTGTTCAGTTCACTCTGGGCCCAAGCGAGGGGTCAGCGCCATTCAGCGAAGGCCGTTTGAGCGCCTCTGGTGATAAGGCTTTTGCCGACTCTGGGACTCCAGTGAGCTGGGGCCTGCATTTCTCATCTCTGGTTTTCATATCATTCCTCCTCAGCCTCAGCTCTGCTCTCTCTGACCTTTCTCTGCTTCTGCTGTTGCTCTGTGTCCCCTTCCCCCATCCCTGGAAACTTCCTGCTGTCTTCTTGTTCTGTCCAGTGACCTACTAAAGTCACAAAGGGGGCAACGAAAAGCCCATCGCAGAGACGCCCCTTAACGGGAGCCATGCCCACACCAGCAGGCAGCTCAGGAGCCACCTGCGCCGCAGACACCCTGCCTATATAGCCAGAGGGGGTGTGGCAAGGGCACTTCGGCCAATCACCACACAGCCCTTCATGCAAATGAGGAATGCTTGCACCACTCACAGCAGTTACTCATGCAAATGAGGCACCGTGTTTGCACCAATCACAGCCCTTCTGCTGGGCCCCCTCTGGCCTGGGTGGGATGGCTACAGGGTGATCAGAGTTCACCCAGCCTTGTTCTATTTCTAGAACCACACCTCCAGCCCTCACCCAGGCTGGCCATGGCGAAGATGTCCAGCCCAAGATGCTTCCGGCAGTCATGGCTGTGACAGTGCCTTCTGCAGCTGGAGTTGTGCCTTCTGGAGCCAAAATGGCTGCAAGCAGCTGTGGTTGCCAGGAAGCCTCCTCCAGGCATCTGGAGAGCTCCGAGCAGCTGGGCCGGGTGACAGAGTCTGGGCTGACTGCCCTGCACACGGGCAGCCAGACTTGAGCACAGGGCCTGTGGAGGTGCTCGTGATGGTTTTGACCATTCACGGAACGCAGAGAACTAAAGCAGATACTTTAAAGCAACTGAGGCCAATAGGAAAAGGGGACCAGGAACTAGAGAAAAGGTTAGATCAAAAAGAATTAACCTAGAAGGTAACACCCACACACAGGAAATCAATGTGAGTCAATGCCCTGTATAGCTATCCTTATCTCAACCAGCAAAAACCCTTGTTCCTTCCTATTATTGCTTATACTCTCTCTACAACAAAATTAGGAATAAGGGCAAAATAGTTTCTGCTGGGTATCGAGGGGGAGGGGGGAGAGGAAGGGGGCGGAGTGGGTGGTAAGGGGGGGTGGGGGCAGGGGGGAGAAATGAACCAAGCCTTGTATGCACATATGAATAAAATAAAAAAAAGCATACAAGGGGGTTCCCAGGGAAGACAATGAAAACTCAGAACTAGCAATTCTAGTAGCACTTAACAGGATGTATGCCAAACTTTTGGGTTTTTATTTTTATTTTTTTGCTTTGGTAATTTTTGAGATAGGGTCTCACATCTATGCCTACATAGACCTGAGCCACAGGCCTCCTCTTTTCATTCCTGAATAGCTGGGATGACACATGTGAGCCACCTTGAAATGGGTCTCAAGAACTTTTTGCCCAGGTTGGCCTCAGACCTCAATCCTCACGATCTCTGTTTCCGGAGTAGCTAGGATTACAGGCATGAGCCACTGTGCTTGGCTCTAAACAGTGTTTGAACTCCTGCCCCGGTGTCCGAGGGAGAGGTGGTCCCTCTGATCTGCCCCATCCACATCTCCTAGGTTCCCCGTTTTTGTTTTTGTAGAACTGGGATTTGAACTCAGGACTTTGCACTTGCAAAGCAGGTGCTCTACCACTTGAGCCACACCTGCAGTCCATTTTGGTCTTATCTGGTTATTTTGGAGATGGAATCTCACAAACTATTTGCCTGGGCTGGCCTCGAACCTCGATCCTCCTGATCTCGGCCTCCCAAGTAGCTGGAATTACAGGCGTGAACCCCAGTGCCCGGCAAGATCGCCTGATTTTCACATTTTGTCATTTAACTTGTTCCATTGCACCCTGTCCCTGAACAAAAACATTCTTTCACAGAAGTCATGTTGTATAAAGTCCCAGAAAGCTAGGAGCTGACATTGAGTCAGGAATACTCCTGGGGGGTTCTCCCTGGGGAAAATAAAGAGTTAGTCAATAAATACAGTGGATTCCATAACACTGAATTCACAGTCAACAGCACCATCACCGAGCCTGAGGTCCAGTCTTTGGGGAGAGGCACTTCTGAGAACGGACCTCCTTCCTAACTGAAGACTCTCATTAAAACCTAGCCCTTGTCTTCTAGGAGATTTTGGAGTGAAGGGCGGTAGTGGGAACTGAACCCCTGGTCTCGCCCCTGCTGGGCAAGCGCTCTACCACTTGAGCTACTCCAGCAGCCCTTTTGTTTTTGAGACAGGGTCTTGCTAACTTTGCCTGGACTGGCCTCAAACCAGTCCTCTTGGCTCCGCCTCCCCAGTAGCTGAGATTACAGGCGTGCACCACCATGCCCAGCTTAGAAAGCGGAACTACTAGCTCCTGAATTTCAGAGGTGCCTGGAACCGGGAATGAGGGAGGTCCTGGCCACCTGCTGTGTGACCGCTGGCCCCTCCCATCCGTGGGCTGGGGACAGGGCCCGCAGCCTTGGCCACAGCTGGCAGCACAGTGAGTGTCCCCGAGTCTGCATGGAATCCACAAGCCGACACCAGAGGCTTTCTGGAGCTGTGGAGGGTGAGCATCACTGTCCTAACGGGCACTGTGAGTATGAAACTTGGGACAGCAGGCTCACGCTGGCATGTTCTGGAAAGCCAGGACGCAATGTCACTGCAGTAAGTGTCCATTGCCCCTGTGGGCACTGACGTCGGCCCTGGGCAAAGGGAAGGAGGTCCTTGGAAGCAAGGGGCCAATAATGGAGGAAGGAGGGTCGGGAATGCTGGAATAACAAAATGGCCAGGTGTCCACTATCAGGAGCGAGTGGGCGGTTTAGGAAAGGAAGAGGAGAAGACTAAAGAACAAAGCACAATGTCTAAGATCAAATAGCTGCGTGAGCCAGGTGTGGTGCGCACGCCTGCAATACCAGCTGCTCTGGAGGCAGAGGCAGGATGACCTCAAGAGTGAGGTCAGCACAGGCAAAGTTAGCAAGGCCCTCAAAGATAAAATTAAACGCAAAGGGCTGGGATGTGGCTGGAGTGTAGAGCGCTTGCCTGGCATGCCAAGACCCTAGGTTCAAATCCCCAGTGCTGCATAAAAACTAGATAAAGACAAGACCCAGAGCGTCAGGTGGAGAAACCTGAGCAGGTTTCCGTCCACTCGGGCTGGTGACTCGGGGAGGGAGCTGCAGGACGCTGAGGACACGAGCTGGTGGCAGGGAAAGGAAGGGACACATTGAGGGAACCATTAGGAAAGAGAAAGGAACCAGTAGAGCTTCCTGCCTGGCTGAGCGCTGAGGACACAGGAGGAGGACGAGGACAGGATGGAGGACGGAGGACACCTGGAGCTTCAGGCCTGGGAGGGGAGCGGGCGCAGCGTGGAGGTGACCACGGGCAGCACCAGGCGACCTGAGTCTGTCCAAGGTCATGGCGAGTTTGGGAAAAGCTGTGTGGACAGGACGCACACCAAACCACATTGGAATCACCCTCGGTGGGCAAGGGGACGGTCTCTAGAGAAAAATCCAGAAGCAGCTGACAACACCTGT